TAGAGCTTCAAGACATCTTCAGAGGCCTACATGGGTTACAGACAGTATGGCTGCATCATCAGAGATGGGCTGGTAAGCAAGGGAGGGAGGATGGAATTCTGACTTAACATCTCAACAATATTGTTAATGTAAAAGTTGTATAGTAGTGGGATGTGGACACAGCCTTGCTTCACACCTTTGCTACAGAAAATGGGTTCAACTAAATCTCCAAGGATATTACCCTTTACTTGAGTGGTTGCGCCGTTGTATAATAGCATTATTAGCCTAAGAAGGCAGCGATCTATCATTGTAGTGGCTAATTTCCTTCAGAGTCATTCTTGTGGAATAGAATCAAAGGTGGCAGGTCTAAAAAGGCTACAGAGAGGGCACCTTTGGGCTCGCTGTAATATTTCTCAGCTAAGTAATGTAGTATGGTACATTGATTCATGGCTGAATGTTCAGACCTGAAGCCAGCTTGTTCTAGGGCCAAAATGTTGTCAGAGGACATCCACTCCAGAAGTTTATAATATAGAAATCTAGTATATAGTTTACTAATTACAGATAAAAGGCTAACTGGTTGATAATTTGCAGGGACACATTTATCACCTTTCTTGCAAATTTAGATAATAGAGTTGAGCCATTCCTTAGGAAGACATAAAAATTATTTATGGCTGTGAAGAGAGAAGCAAGCACAGATGCCTGCAATGTAGGGTTTAATTTTAAGAATTCTGGTAAGATTAAATTTTACTAGAAGCTTTACTGTTTTCTAACTGAGAAATTAGTTTTTTAACCTATAGGGGTTAGAATTAGGGTTTTCATAGTAACAAACAAAGAATATATTATGACATAAATTTCTTATATGGATTATTAAGCAAGGGATCAATGGATAACCATTGAAGGAAAACAAATTATGGAGACTTGTGGAAGAAATTGTGGTTACAAATAATAATAGTAACAAAAAATGTAGCTACTACCAAGAAAAGCATTCCCATGTTGACTTTTTTTTTTTTTTTTAAATCTGCGCTCAGTCGTTACCGACT